AAATTGGCTCGTCAAATTTAAAAGGTATTGCTTCGCTGCCTTTATTTACGGGGCCACTGCCACATCAGATGTGGGGACACGGGAACAGAAAAATAGATTTTTTTGTTCGCGGGAGTGAAGGGAGCTGGGGAGGGAGGGTTCTCTGTGGGGCCGCGTAGCAGTGGTTCCCGAGGCCGCCGAGTCGCGCGACCGCTACCTCCCGCAGGTGGCCCGGCTTCGTTTCGAGCGATCGAGAGACAACCGCGGCCCCACCGCCACCACCGCCTCCAGCCGCAAGCGATGGCACCAGGGGGGTGGCGAACTCAATGATGGGGAGGTGGGCTAGGGCTGCATGAGGGGGGGGGGGGGGGTGAGTGGGGGTCCGATCCGGGGCAGAGCCAACGTGATGCTGCAGATATTGAGCAGGAATAAAGCAGAATGGTTTGCGGGGAGCAGCTGTAGTCGAGGGGACGGGACACGTGGAGGCTGAATGCAGCTGTGTGGAGGAGTTGTAGCCCAGGGGACACGTGGAGGCTGAGTGTAGCTGTGTGGAGGAGTTGTAGCCCAGGGGACACGTGGAGGCTGAGTGTAGCTGTGTGGAGGAGTTGTAGCCCAGGGGACACGTGGAGGCTGAGTGTAGCTGTGTGGAGGAGTTGTAGCCCAGGGGACACGTGGAGGCTGAGTGTAGCTGTGTGGAGGAGTTGTAGCCCAGGGGACACGTGGAGGATGAGTGTAGCTGTGTGGAGGAGTTGTAGCCCAGGGGACATGGGGAGGCTGAGTGTAGCCGTGTGGAGCCGTAGGCCAAGGGACACGAGGAGGCTGAGTGTAGCTGTGTAAGAGCTGTAGCCGAGGGGATAAGGAATGGATCGGCTTCATCATTGAACCTCCTTTGCCAGTACCAAAATATAATAGGGTTTTTCCCCTTTTTTGGGCAAAACTGAAACCTTTTTTTTACAAGGATTCATGTTACTGCATTAACCACAATACTTGTGGTCAACTTTGATAGTGCATTGTCTTTGAGCTGTACGCCTTTTGGCGTCCTCTGGTCTAGCACCAATTGAGACGAGGCTCTAAAGAAAGCTGTCTCAGTTGTGGACCAATCAGATTCAAGGACAATGCATATATTATCAGTGTTTTTTTTTTGCATTTTGACTGCAAGTATTGTGGTTAATGCACACATGAATCCTTGTAAAAAAAGGTTTCAGTTTTGTTGCCAGAAAAAAGGGTAAAAACACTATTATTACTGGATCGGCTTCGTTTAACATGTGAACAATGCGGGTTGAAGTGTCGGTCTCAGGATGCCTTTTTATCCACTCGGTCCCTCCATAAGGCACGAGAGATGTGATTTTAACGGTAACAATTGTGCACTTATTTTACTGTTAACATCAAGTCAATTGGCTCTGACCTGTCCACTGGGTGAATGGCTTAAACCCCCCTCCTGCTCCTCGCTAACCAAAGTCCGATAAGTATGGGAATACGAGCACCGAAATCCCCCCATACCTCCCACCCCCTTACCATGAGGGTCACGTGCCATGTATGTACTTCTCGCAGCTGAAGATCACACTTGATGATGATGATGACGATAATGACGGGACAGTGACTCAGCAGGTGTGTGCCAAACAATGCGAGTTTTCAATCGGTGCGCGCTACCTGCTGCGGGCACGCGGTCCCGACACGGGGCCACTCGCAACAAAAACATGGTGAACAAAAACAATGAAAGAAGCTTGGAGAGGTGCATGTTGGGAATTCCATCGAGAGATGGAACGAAGAACGCGCGGACTTTAGAGACGCGCGCAAGTTCATGGAATCGTTTACACTGTGAAGCAGAGTGAGCCGGTTTGGGCCGCGCACGTCATGGCTAGGACGACGGCCGATGGTCAAGGGTAGTGAAGGAGTGGTAGCCAAGGAATGGGAACACGTCCAAGAGGTACGACCACCGAGGGAAGATGGAGCAATGAAATCAGCTCGCGTACCGATGCTAGGTGGATTGTCACATCGCGGCAGGTTTGTGAGAGATGGCGTCGGCCCAGGGAGGCCTTCATCCAGCAGTGGATTGATCATAGCCGATGATGATGAATGAAGCCAGTGCTGGTGCTGCTGAGGCCAGTTCATCTGGCAGGGGGCGGGGTGGGGAAGGCGCTCAGCTCACCTGGGCTCACCCTCCACTCACCCCGTCTCTCGACCAATCAGGAACACACAACGGTCAACAGGTCGCGCACAAGTGGAGGGCGGCTGCTCCCGAGAGACGCGCGTGCGGCCGAGAGGCCCCGGGCTAATCGCCGCTTCGCGCACTCACGGCACGGCACTTCGGCGGCGGCCACGTTCACAAAACAAGGGCAGAGAGACACCCCCCCCCTCCCCACCGTGTCACTACCCAGACTGTTGGGGCAAGTGATGTTAAGGAGCGCCTTTGAAGGACGCCGCTCGTCGCACGAAGAGGTCGGGTTTGTGTTACAGAGACCTCGCCCGCCCGCCCGTCCGCCTTTGTCTCCCGCAGTGCTGATTTGTACACACCGCACCGTGTGCTCGTTTTAGGTTGAGGCGACCTAGGGGAAGCCCAGGAGCGGTTCAGATAATCGTTAATGGTGAGTGGGATCGTAGCCCAGCGCGCTAACCACTGCGACACCGCTCCCTCCCAATCCCTCGAAGACAAAGATCCCCCGTGTAGCTTTAACAGACTGTAGGGGCAAGTGCTGTTAGCGAGCACCTATGAAGACCGGAACGGCACACGGGGGGGGGTGGGGTGTGGATGGCCAACACCACACCCGGCCGCCTTTGTCTCCCTTGTGGCGATGTTTTAAACATTGCACCAGGCACTCATTTAAGATGAATCAACCTACGGTAAGTGCCCTGAACCGTTTCAGATGTATTCGTCACGGATGTTGACCGTGAGCGGGAATCGTAGCGCAGTGCGCTAACCACTGCGCCACCACTCCCTCCCTCCACACGCACACTTGCTGAATTGCTTTAGCGAGCATCGATTTTGGTTGCCGGCCTTGGAGGATTGTTGCATTCGGTGTTATTGTCGTTTTGCTGGATGTGAGTAGATTAGGAACCACTTAAAGTGGGCGACCTCATCGACGCGAGCCCACACGGTCAGTGGCCGTGCGGTGACCACGGCCGCAGGTGGCGAGGGGGGGGGGCTCCGCTCCTCGTCCTCCTCCTCTGGCTTTATCGCAGCGTTAATCACCGCCCCCACCCCCGCCCCGCATCTGCCACCAGAGCTCTGGCACAACTACGCGAAATGCCAGTTTGCTTATTGTCATAGATTTTTTTTCCCCTTCACAATTCCCATGGCTGAGCATTTAATGGGACTCTGTGATCACGGAGAGCCAGTTTGGGTTTTTTTTTCCTTCTTTTAAACATTCATACCGAGCGTGGGAGGAAATTAAATCGATGGGAAGTTGGGCACCTGAACAGTTTCTTTGAGAAATGGTCGAGTTCCGTCGCTCGATTCCATGAAGAGCGAGGGCCCGGCTTATGCTCTGTATGCATGTTGTACGTATGTTGAACTTCTCTCGCACCATACGTAGCCAACCGCGATAATCGGAGGTCCAGGGGGAAGGACAACAAACTGAACACAAAAATCACTTATAAACAAATGAGTTTGTCAATCTAGATGATTTAAAAGCGCATAGCTCCACTGGCTTCCTAATATCGGAGGGAAGAGCGTTCCAGACGGCCGCAGAGGCGCATCTGAAAGTGCGCAATGCGGTGACCACCGCCTTTGTTCGATGATTCGCCAAAATCCGCTGCTGCGAGGATGACCACCGGAGCCCGCGTGATGGTTGATGCTCCTTGACGATATCAACAAGATATTGTGGTGCATTTGTGGCAAGCGCTTTGTGTGTTAGGAGTGCATCCTCCATCTAATCCGTTCCAGGTCTGTGGCCTGTTTATTAATGCAACATTCCATAACTGTTCTACGGAAATCACTTCTTTGCTATGTACTTTAGACAAACACAGCCGACCTGAATTGAATGCTTTAGCAAAATAGAAAACAGATTATTATAGAGAGGAAAAAAATCAAACGAAATCTGATTTTAAAAGAACGCCGCACGGCAGTGGCGTGCGGGAGACATCTGGGAGATGCCGCCTACCCCTCCTCCTCCTCGAACATTCCACTGTGGCGTGATATGAACGGAGTGGACCGTTTTAAGCAAATTTGCACAACAATAATTTACACTGCGCCCCGGTCGAGAGCGAGCTAATCCCAATTAAAAGTAAAGAGCACGTGTCGATGAGGCTCCGATTGTAAACCAATCAAATTGCATACACGTTAATCCGGTGATGTATTTCACGCGCATCCAGAGAATCGATCCAGTTCTCATCTCCACTGCAACCCTCTGGCTCCGGGCCACCTCGATGCGGCCTCGCCATGTACACAAACGCATGAGCGCACGTGCGCATGAGCGCACGTGCGCGTGGGCACACGTGCGCGTGGGCACACGTGCGCGTGGGCACACGTGCGCGTGGGCACACGTGCGCGTGGGCACACTAACACAAATACGATCCCTGCCCCCTCCCACCGGATAGCCTTATCAGACTGTTGGGGCAAGTGCTGTTCGCGAGCACCTATAAATACACACACGTATCCACGCAATCGCCTACAGACACACAAATGTAGACATACACACGTACACACACATATATAAATATATAAATACGTGTGCACGTAGACGAGGACACGCACACACCTACAAATACACACACACAGACATAGGCATACACAAATACCCCCCCCCCCCCCATATAGCCTGTACAGACTGTTGGGGCAAGTGCTGTTAGCAAGCGCCTATGAAGGCCGGCACGGCACACGACCACGACCTCCTCATGTGCGTCCGGAGGCCTTCGATTACCAGTGCTGATGTTTACAACACCGCACCAGGTACTGTACTCATTTCAGGCTCTGTCGACCTAGGGGAGACCCAGGACCAGTTCAGAAATTCGTCACCGATGTTAGCCGCCATGGGCGAGAATCGAACTAGGTTCGCCGGGTTTGTAGGGTGGTGCGCTAACCACACCGCTCCCCACACACAAAGATGCACACAGACGCGCACGCACAAATGTGTATACATACACAGACGTACACACGCAGACGCACACATACAGACGCACCCACGTAGACGCAGGCTACTTCCACTGCGGGACACGGAGACGCGCGAGAACGACGAACAGCAGCCACAGTATACCCCCTCCTCCTCTTCCGCCTCTCTGCACGCCCCATCAGACAGCACTGCACCACCATCCACGCACGACTTCCACTGTGGTCGCAGACTCAACGGCAATCGACCCTGACCCTGCTCAGCTATTCCAACAGTCACGAACGAGGGTGGCAGACGCGGGCGGGGGGTCAAGCCAATGACCAATCCACGAACCAAGCAACTGAGCGAGCCACCAAGCCACTGACCGAGCCACTGAGCGAGCCGCCCTCCAGAGTGGGCAAAATGTCCATGGTGCGGTCACCGCGTTTCCCTTTTCGCACGTGCGAGAAACCTCGTGGGTGCGAGTCTCGTGGGCAGCTCCAATAAAAAATAAACCCAACAGCTATGGCCCGTAGCCCACACTGAGCACACGCACCTTGAGACTACAGCGATATGAATAGCGTTTGCAAACATCACATCACCGAGCACAGCTGCTTTACCGGGCAGGCACGCACATGGGCAGGGCCAGGGGTACGCACGTGGGCACGGACGTCCCTACAGAGCCAGGAGAAGAGCAGAGTTCACACTTTACACAACGCGCGAACACGCGCGCACGTCTAACAAAGCCCTAGGTCAGTATACGACTCCACATGGGTTCATCTTCCTACGTGGGATTTCAGTCACGACTTATTATTATTATCATTACGAGAGTGTTTATGATGATTATTACAAGACTATCAATCACGTCTGTTTCGGTTTCTGACGCGTGCCTCTCTAGTTGCGTTCATCCTTTCCCGCGATGCAACGCGACAACGTCCCCGTGTCCGTCCCCGACGTCTTGTGACGTCAAGCAAAATGAACGCGAGGTGCTCGCTAGTTCGAGACAAAGGAAAAGACCGCGGTGGGGGGGGGCGGGGCGCGTCTAAGACTAGAAGGGGGGCAGCCGAGTTCTACAGCTAGGGGGAGGGGGGGCAGTTTACCTACAAATATCTACAACTTCCATTCCCAAAAAACAAACAAACATCACACGACAGCTCCCGTCTCGTGAACAGCATATATTAAATATCGTCATCTATAATAGATAATATATCTCCCTAAGCTCGCGGAACGTGTTGGTTGTGGTTGGGCAGGCGACGGGGGCTGTGTGGGTGGGGGGAGCTCCCGATGCCACCCCGATAGTCGTGGGGGGGGGGGGGGGCGGTGGCGGGGGGTAAAAGTGAAGGGGGGCCGGGAGTGGTGGCGGTGGAGGTCGTACATCAGCGCGGCTCGTGCCAGTGTGCCGGTGACTCTCTGGCCATTAACAAACAGGGCCCGTGCACCCCCCCCTGCTCCGATCGACTGCGAGTAATTAACGATTCCTACGCCACCTTCACCTCCCGCCTTCCATTTCTCATCGCCTCCACAGTCACCCCGGCTCCCCGCTCTGCAGGTGGATTCGTTTCGTTTAAAAAATAAATACGTTTTTAATTGGCCCGGGTAAAATATTCAACAGTTATGTTTTTTTTCCTTCTTGCTTGCTCTCTCTCTCTCTCCTCTCTCTCCTCCCTCTCGGTTCCGTCGCCTCAGACGAGCGATTCCATGCTCTCGGCGGGGTCCGGTTCGTCGGGCAGGACGGCCGCTCCATTCCGGTCCGGTGCGGCACATCCGTTCCGGGTTTCCCTGCTCGCCACCAGGCTCAGCACAGCCTTGTAGAGGAACTGGTACTGCTCCTGTGCAACGGCAGACAAAGATCCCACCGCGTATAATCTTAACAGACTGTTGAAACGAGTGCTGTAAGTGAGCAGCACCTATTGCAGCCGGGCCTCCGTACGAGCGGGCCGGTGGCCAGCACGCCATGCCCGGCCGCCTTCATCTCCCCAGTGGCGATGTATACACACCACACCGGGTACTGATTTGAGGCTGAGTCGACCTAGAGGGAGGCCCAGCACCGGTTCAGAAAATCGTCACCGGTGTTGGCCGTGAGTGGGATTCGAACTCGGGCAGACACGTTAATCGCTGCACCACCGCTCGCACGTTTCCACGCACATACACACACTACGCACGCAAGCGTGTCGTTTTGTAATTCCTCCAACATGCACCTCGCCCGTGTACGTGAACGCATCTCTGCGTGGTTCATAAAGCCGGTGCGCATCTCGTTTTCTGTCAGATTAGAGATCGCGGGGCATTTTTCACGGCTTCGAAGAGGAGGCATGGCCGCATAGAACGCACCGCGCGCATCCGCCGCAAGATGTAATTGAATGCACGATGGAGCCGCGATGCCGCAAGCCTCAGAAATGGGGTCCATTAAGCTAAAATGTCTTCTCGTTTTGCGCAAAATTGCAGCTCTGGAGGCTCGTTTTAAGTGGGTCTACAAGCCCCCTAACGAGCCACGCGAAGGCGCCCCCCCGCAATCTGCCATCCGACGCGAAATTGGACTTGCACGCCAGCTCGCTGGCATTATGAACGGGGCCGCCGACAAAAAAAGCGCGTCAATTTCAGCTAGCCGCTCGTTTTTTTTTCGTTGTTAACCGCTTGTCGTCCGCGCCGCCATAGAAAAAAAGCAGGCGTGCGCCGTGCAACCCGCGCGGAGCTGTGGGGGCGGCCTTTTCGGAGCGATGAGCGCCGTGATCGGGGTGGAGGGGGGAAGGGGGGTGGCTGAGCACCGTCTCAATAATTTAACGCCAGTGACGCCGACGAACGAACAGGGGGCCTCTGTGGTTGTCCATTTCTGCAGCGAGGGGCCCGCTCGAGGTGCGAGAGAGCTGGGCACCGAGCAATTAAGCGGCACGGAGGTGGCCCGAACGCGTGTTGAATTTCTTTCGCACCGTACGTAACCAACCGTCTAATCGGAAGTGTGGGAAAAGGACAACAAAGGCCTGGTATTGCGGGAGTCACAGCACCGAGCCGCCACCACCGCGAGTCCGGGTAATAAATCTGGGTTTCAGCCGCCCGGCCACACAGATTAAACCGGGTCCTCGAGTGTAGCGAGCAGACGGTCTCAGCTGGGCCACAAATGACTCGCTCACAGAGAGGTGCACAGACTCGCCTGGCGACCCATAGACTGATACGATTATAGCCTCACGAAGGCCGAGTTGGGATCAGAACCTGGGTGCTCGCCATTGCGGTGAGGCAGTGGGTCTCAGCCCGGTCGCCGGCGGCCGCGCAAGAATGCACCCAAGTAAAATGTTGCCCTTCACGTAATTTATCAACATTCCAGCTGCAAGAATTCAAAACATCCGTGCGACAATGTGCCATGATTGCGCGGCGCATGGGAAAGTGCGCTCGGTGGCGCATGAAAAGTGTAACCGACGTTCGTCATGGTTGGCTACGTACGTTCTTCAGTCACACAGTGTGGCCTTGAAAGAACAAAAAATATATAATCGGTTAACATTTTGGGTAATGGCCATTCTTCATAACACGTAGAGAAGCCAGAGAGACGGAGTGGACGATAAGAGCTGGAGACTGCATTGGCCACCTCTCTTATTTACGTGCCATGAAGTCGGCGCAGCTGCCTGAAACGTCTACGATTATTTATATTTCCTTTTAATACCACGGTGTTCTTGACAAGCACCGTTGAGTTTATGTTTTAACCTTGCGTGTGCACCACTGCTAACATAGCAGCAGCGGCATTAGCAGCATCACCATATAATTTGTGACTAAAACGGTCACTTGGTGGCATCTTCAAAAGCAGTTCTGTGATATCCCCTTCCATGGGGCCACGACGTTCCCCGATGCAGGGCAATGCCAGCGCTGTAGCGCGAGTTGTTCGTGCGGATTCTTTACCTCGTGACACAAATAAAAAATCCACTCGGAGAGACGAAATGTACTTTAAATAAATTGAATTCCGTTTAGAGAGAAAGACAGAATGCAAACGAGGCAGCGACAAAGGGACGCGGTTAGTTTTTACAAAAAAACTCAGGGATGTACACCTCTGCTGCTTTTGCTGTTGTTGATGCTGCTGCCACTGCCGCCCACAGAGAATAAATGTTTTTGCTTTTTCCCGGGAGCCTCAACGATCGCCACGGAGAGAGAAGATGACTCAGCACGGCAAGGCAGCTTTTGCTGCCTTTGTCTCCTAAGAAGCCAGACGGAGACTATTTACTTGTGGACCGGTAGGAGCCACTCGAGACTAATGGTCTCCCTCTCTCTATAGACTCGACTACTACTATTTTCATTTAACGAGGGAAAGCCCACAGAGCAATTTCGAAAAGTGACTCGCATTGGCCAAATTTTCTCATGAAAAAAATAACAATACCTGCAAAGTACTCAATTTGGATCACAGTAGCAGCATCATCGCCTCCAAACCGAGAAAAATCAAACAACAGGACCCTCCTGAATGAGAGAATTGAAACTCGGTGTGTAGTTAGCCTGGTGGTCCACCACTATAGTGTGTAGTTAACCTGGTGGTCCACTACTATAGTGTGTAGTTAGCCTGGTGGTCCACCACTATAGTGTGTAATTAGCCTGGTGGTCCACCACTATAGTGTGTAGTTAGCCTGGTGGTCCACTACCATAGTGTGCAGTTAGCCTGGTGGTCCACCACTATAGCGTGTAGTTAACCTGGTGGTCCACCACTATAGTGTGTAGTTAGCCTGGTGGTCCACCATTATAGTGTGTAGTTAACCTGGTGGTCCACCACTATACGGTGTAGTTAGCCTGGTGGTCCACCACTATACGGTGTAGTTAGCCTGGTGGTCCACCACTATAGTGTGTAGTTAACCTGGTGGTCCACCACTATAGTGTGTAGTTAGCCTGGTGGTCCACCACTATAGTGTGTAGTTAACCTGGTGGTCCACCACTATAGTGTGTAGTTAACCTGGTGGTCCACCACTATAGTGTGTAGTTAACCTGGTGGTCCACCACTATAGGGTGTAGTTAGCCTGGTGGTCCACCACTAGAGAGTGTAGTTAGCCTGGTGGTCCACCACTATAGTGTGTAGTTAACCTGGTGGTCCACCACTATAGGGTGTAGTTAGCCTGGTGGTCCACCACTATAGGGTGTAGTTAGCCTGGTGGTCCACCACTATAGCGTGTAGTTAACCTGGTGGTCCACCACTATAGTGTGTAGTTAGCCTGGTGGTCCACCATTATAGTGTGTAGTTAACCTGGTGGTCCACCACTATACGGTGTAGTTAGCCTGGTGGTCCACCACTATACGGTGTAGTTAGCCTGGTGGTCCACCACTATAGTGTGTAGTTAACCTGGTGGTCCACCACTATAATGTGTAGTTAGCCTGGTGGTCCACCACTATAGTGTGTAGTTAACCTGGTGGTCCACCACTATAGTGTGTAGTTAACCTGGTGGTCCACCACTATAGTGTGTAGTTAACCTGGTGGTCCACCACTATAGGGTGTAGTTAGCCTGGTGGTCCACCACTAGAGGGTGTAGTTAGCCTGGTGGTCCACCACTATAGTGTGTAGTTAACCTGGTGGTCCACCACTATAGGGTGTAGTTAGCCTGGTGGTCCACCACTATAGGGTGTAGTTAGCCTGGTGGTCCACCACTATTGTGTGTAGTTAACCTGGTGGTCCACCACTATTGTGTGTAGTTAACCTGGTGGTCCACCACTATAGTGTGTAGTTAGCCTGGTGGTCCACCACCATAGTGTGTAGTTAGCCTGGTGGTCCACCACCATAGTGTGTTGTTAGCCTGGTGGTCCACCACCATAGTGTTTAGTTAGCCTGGTGGTCCACCACCATAGTGTGTAGTTAGCCTGGTGGTCCACCACAATAGTGTGTAGTTAGCCTGGTAGTCCACCACTATAGTGTGTAGTTAGCCTGGTGGTCCACCACCATAGGGTATAGTTAGCCTGGTGGTCCACCACCATAGGGTGTAGTTAGCCTGGTGGTCCACCACCATAGGGTGTAGTTAGCCTGGTGGTCCACCACCATAGGGTGTAGTTAGCCTGGTGGTCCACCACCATAGGGTGTAGTTAGCCTGGTGGTCCACCACCATAGTGTGTAGTTAGCCTGGTGGTCCACCACCATAGTGTGGTGTAGTTAGCCTGGTGGTCCACCACCATAGTATATAGTTAGCCTGGTGGTCCACCACCATAGTGTGTAGTTAGCTTGGTGGTCCACCACCATAGTGTGTAGTTAGCCTGGTGGTCCACCACCACAGTGTGTAGTTAGCCTGGTGGTCCACCACCACAGTGTGTAGTTAGCCTGGTGGTCTACCACCATAGTGTGTAGTTAGCCTGGTGGTCCACCACCATAGGTTGTTATCTGGTAAAGGGGCAGTCACACCTTTGTGTTGGTATCAATAAATGTGTTGCCTCCAAGGAGTACATCTGCGACTCAGTTGAATCCACTACACAACCAACAATTGTCAATGTTGTGGGTTTACTCTACAACACACCGGTGTGCTGAAGTTGTCATTAATTGACGCACTTTGTTCAAGTGACAAACCTTACTAATTGGCTGTGTCGGGTGGTGTCGGGTTTAACGACACATTTATATTTACGCGATCTAACCCGACATAAAATACTTGATTGTAGACGGCGATGGCTTTTGGTGGTGGGGGGCGGGGGGGGGGGGCCTTCATCCAGCAGCAGATCGAACACGGCTGATGACATATCCGATGTCCGAGCGTGGAACGCGGTTCATCATCAGCGGGCCGAGTGCCAGAGGGAAGGAATCGCGATGAAGGAATTGCGGGAAGTGGCGATGGTGGCGGTGGAGGGTGGCGGGCGGCGCAGCAGCAAAGGTCGCCGCCGTCTCGTTTCCACCGTAGTGGCCAGCGGTCGCTTTCATCATTACCGATCATCTGCGCTTGCAGCACCGGCGGAACACTGCGCGTGGCGGTGGTGGCGGCTGTCTGGTTAAATGCTGGCGCCGCTTGTTGCAATGATCCCTGAAGCGCTCCTCGTGTACTTATAATTGAAATGGAGTAAAATTAAACGGATGAGGTTTTTTTTTTGGTTTGTTGTCGTTTTAATTGTGCGAGATTAAATGCACTTAAACTCGAGGATGCCTTCAATTGAAAGAAAATCAACACAATTAGAGCATCTCGGAGTGAACAGTAACCAGCGCTCATGTGAAGTGCGACCACTCTGCTAACGGGCAGCGGTTGGCCAGGAATGGGAGGCGGCCCGTCACTGGGCCCTGTACGAGAGTACTCAGGTTGCACAGCCTCAACAGACTGTTGGGGCAAGTGCTGTTAACGAGTAGAACCTATGAAGGCTGACACGGCACACGAGGGGGTGGGAGGCCAGCCGCCTTTGTCTCCCCAGTGGCGATGTTTACACACTGCACCAGGTACTCATTTGAGGCTGAGTCGAGCTAGAGGAGGCCCAGGACCGGTTCAGATAATCATCACTGGTGTTGGCCGTGAGCGGGAATCGAACTAGGGTCATCGGGTTTGTAGTGCACAGAGCACGCACCGGTGTACACACCATTATCATCACCATCGCCGGCCATGGTCAATCCACTGCTGGATGAAGGCCTCCCCATGGCACTACTGCCACCACTTATCACGATCCTCCGATGTAAAAATGCACCCAGCACCCGGACATGGAACCGATTTCATCACTCCTCATCTGGTGGTGGTACGTCCTCTCGGACATATATACCGACCGTGCTGATACAGGGGGTAAAAAAAACAATATGATAAGAATAAAACCGTCAGTGTTATATTCTTGAGCCTTGCGCGGCAGCGAAATTCGTCCCTGGTTTGGCTGCGTGCGTACGTACGTGTGTGTGTGTGTGCATGAGCGAGCGAGCGCATGAGTGGGACGTGAAGAGTAGTGGTTAGCCCGCTGCGGCATGAACCCGGCGACCCGAGTTCGATTCCCGCTCACGGTCAACACCAGTGCCGATTATCTGAACCGGTCCTGGGCCTACTTCCCTAGGTTTACTCAGCCTCAAATGATTACTCGGTATGGTGCCGTGCCGGCTGTCCTTCATAGGTGCCCGCTAACAGCACTTGCCCCAACAGTCTGTTAAGGCTATATGGGGGATCTTTTTCTTTGTGAGCACGTGAGGGCGTGTATCGGCGGGTACGTACCGCGTCAGTGAACGTGCCGGGCCGCGCCAGCGACACCATCTTGGCGGCGAGGAACACGTCAGCCGAGCCGTCCTCCTCCAGCTGGTGCCAGAGCGTGGCGAGCGCCACCAGCGTTCCGGCCGCATTGCCCCCACACCTGCACCACCGCCGCCGCACACACCGCACACACCGCACACACGCACCGCTCGCCGTGACGTGCGCCACACAACGGGGGGGCGTCGGTCACAAGGCCCGGTGATGGTGGAGGTTCGTGCCATTTCGGATCTGCCGGGCTGCCCTGGTTATTGCCCTGGGTGTGTGTATTCACCGTCTTTGATTTCACCAAGGTAAAACCCCTCTGAGCTGCTGTGTAGCCCTTTTTCACAAGTGACCTGGCCATCACAAATGATAGCTCCACGAAGTGGCTTATCATCATCACGTGGACATTTATAGCAGCAGCCAAAAACTTTGAACGCGTGACGTGCATTCTAAATGTGGAGGGCAAACCGGAGAGAGATTTGCAAACTCTAAATATAAAGGTGTTAGGGTCGGGATATAACCCACGACCTCCTGCACACCAGGCGAGGTAGTTAACTTCTCGCCACCGCGGCGGTACTCCTACGCGGCGTGTCTGATTGACTCACAGCGGACGTCACAGATTTCCTTGATGTCACTCGAAACGAGAAGGCCATTTAGTGTCAGGGACATGGCCCAAACTTGGCAAATGTAACAGTGCAAATCACTCGATCGGGATCCCCCACAGCAGTAACAAACATCGCCCTCTCCCGTGAAACGCCACCGCACACTGTCTGTGAAACACAGCAAGCAGCGCCTTCCTTCGTGTTGATCACCTTGCTCTGTCGGAATGATAGCGCCAATACCGAATGTATTCATCACTCTCCAGTCGCCGTTCACCACGTTACCACTCTTCTATAGCTGCTGCAATGGTTCCCGTTTTCCTGTGAATTCGATTCTTCATTGATTCCTCGACCCATGTTGATGTCTCAGTCAAGCAAACACCCACTGTTTCATCTCATCCAACCACCATACTGCAGACAACAATATTCACTCAGTCACCCGTCCACCACTGAACTCACACACCCACCCACTCGCTCAATGATACCGACTAACTAACCCACCCACCCACTCACTCTCACTCACCCACCCCCTCACCCACTCACCCACCTGCTCACTCACACACCAATTCACTCATTCTCTCACCCTCACTCACACTCATTCTCACTCACGTACTCACCCCGTCACCAACTCACTCATTCACCCACCCACCCATGCACTCACTCACCCACCCATCTACTCACTCACCCACCCACCCACCCACCAACTCACCCACCCACCTACCCACCAACTCACCCACCCACCTACCAATGGCATGTGCGTGTGTGTTTCTATGAGTCGGGAGTGGTCGTCAAGTGGTTAGTGCACTTCGCTACGAATCCGGCGAACCTGAACTGGTCCTGGCCATCCCCTAGGTCTACTCATCCTCAAATGAGTACCTCGTGGGATGTGTAAATATCACTGGGAAGACAAAGGCGGCCGGGCATGGTGCTGGCCACACCGCATCCTCACATGCCGTGCCGGCCTTAATAGATGCTCACTAATGGCAATTTCCCCGATAGTCTGTTAACGGTGTATGGGGGATCTTTGTCTTTCTGTGCCCTGTGTGTGTCCCCGTGTGTGCCCTGTGTGAGTGCGCGCGTGTGTTGCTGTTGAACATGCGCTCTTGTTGTCGTTGTCGTCGTTGTTGTGTGCGCACGCATGCATCACTCCTGGCAGCGGAATTGCCTCTTAAGCTGCGCAAAGTGCTTTAATTTGTTTTTATCGCCCTGAGGCGCCGCCAAATTTGTCCCTGTACAGTGCGGGGGTGGGGGGAGGGCTGCTCGGCACAAATCCCCCCCGGTCCCGGTGGCAAAGATGGCTGCGACGTACGGACGAGCACACAAGGCGCCTCGTTTTCAGACGGGTGGGCACGGTCGAGCGGTACGACGTTCGCGGCCAAGGCTCGCGGTTCGAGCCCCGGTGGCCGCACCCGCTCTGCGGGTTCATGCACACGACTACCGCCCGGCCGTGCGATTCGCGACGGACGGCGTAGACGTTGTAACGTCGTTCGCAAAAATGTAGCCAACGAGCGCCGGCCTGCGTCACGGTCCGCCGAGTACGCGCGTGCGGCACCCACTGGTCGTGGATGATGATTGGTCCGTCGCGGGCCGCCCCCTCGTCCCTGGCCACGCCCACCAGCTCGAAGCAGCTGCTGATTGGAGCGTCCGGATTGGGCCACGGCGGACAGCGCAGGTGCCGCACCTCCACCTCACGATCGCCCTGCGCGGGGGAGGGGGGTAGCGCAGCGGGCTCGTGAACATTTCCGTGCGGACCTCCTGAGGGTCATCGCCTCTCTGCAAGTGCCGTGGTAGCCACTCACGTGAAGCCAAATGCTAAATTAGTGGAATAAATTTTGTGCGTTAGGCCTCCGACGTAATCGATCTGACTGAATTGCGCATCCTTAAGATCCCACTACCACCAATAACTTTCTGACCCGCCCCTCCTGGATATCTTTGAAAAAAAGCTTCATAGCTCATCGGATTTCTCCAGGATAGAGAATCTGAAAAGAAAAAACCCTTCACCAGCCGACACGGCCAAACGAATTAATCGTCCACGTGGTGGCGTCCGAGCGTTTAATGCGATGACGATCGTTCGAGCTTGCTCACCGGTAGAAGTTCACGAACAATCCCAGGGGGCAATGAGATAAACGGCGTTCTGCTCGAAGCTAGGCCAAACAATCATCAGGACGCCATCCGCAAAGTCCGAAACCTACGCATTGGGTGAACTTATTCGCAGGAAATCGTCAAATGTCGCAATTCCTAGAGATTGTTAAACAACTAAAGATTATTTTTCTTTAAAGGTCTCATAATGTTAATGCTCACCCCGAGCCCTCAATACTCTGATAGTGCGCTGTTTTTGAGTTGTACGCCTTTTGGCGTCTTCTGGTCCAACACCAATGGAGACTAGGCTCTAAGAAAAGCTGTCTCGGGTGTGGACCAATCAAATTCAAGGACAGTGCATATTATTATCAGAGTTGTCTTTTTTGTTTGCATTTTGACTGCTTGTGTTGTGGTTATTGCAAACATGATGCCTTGAATAAAGGTGTCAGTTTTTGTGCCAGTTAAAAGGGTAAAACCTATTCTTATAACTAAAGATTACTGCTATAGTTTTGGTTAATTTATAGCCTTATGTCAAGCCACTGCTGGACGAAAGCTTCCGAAATGTCATGCCGGTCAATGAGCTGCTTGATCATACTTTGCCACGGTGGTCAATGCAGGTTTGTTTGAAAGGGCCGTCCAGGGTTGGTTCAGATATCACTCGCCCAATGACATCAGCCGTGGCCTGGAATCAAACCCAGGTTTACCTCCTTCACGAACTACACCACCACTGCCGCCCCACCATCGTTACATTTATATAATTGGTTTATCTCATAATTGCTTACGTTTGAGATCGAGCAATGAGATTCTTTCATGTTTAGGAGTAAGCTTGATTGCTTGTGCAACCGAGAGGGATGGCGACGTAATGGGGAAGCCTCCATCCAGCAGCAGACGAACCATGATTGATGATGGATCGGGCTCACAGCACGGAGCTGGCTGAGATGCTGGGTATGCATCCGGGTTTCAGCCGGCCTTGATTAAACCTGGTACTGAGAACTAAAACAGATTGGCCGACTGCACGTGAATATCAAAAGGCCACTTGGAGATATCTCAGAAGCAGTTCTGTGGTGTCTCCTTTCACGGGCCACTCCAGCACAGCAGGGGGCTGCATTGCTCGCTGCCAAAAGTTTGATGCTCGGTCTCACGTCAAGACTGCGGCGGCATTGTCAACACAGGGCTGGGAAACGGACAAAAGTCAACAAGCACCCTCCACAGGGCATTGCCGCGATCAATTCCCTGTAATCGGTTAATTACCCGGAAGGCATTTCCATCATCGCTCGGAGGACTCGGAGAGAATTATTGAGTTGTGTGTGGTGGTGGGAAGCGGTAGTGCAGGAGGTTAGCGCGCGCTGCGCTATGAACCTGGCAGCTCGATTTCGTTTCCCGCTCATGGGCAACGCTATTGACGATTTTCTTAACTGGTCCTGGGCCTCTCCTAGGTAGACTTAGCCTTAAATGAGTACCCGGTGTGGTGTGGAAAAACATCACCACGAGGGACAATGGCCACATCATCCCCACGTGTGCTGTGCCAGCCTTTATAGGTGCTAACAGGTCTGTTAAGGTGATACAGGGGATCTCTGTCCTTGGTGTTCTTGTTAAGTTGTATTGATGCGTTGACCCGGGATCGAATGCGCTGTGGGCGCACATGCCTTGTCGGCCCTGAGCAGCAGGTCGGCGATGACGAAGGGTCCCTCGTTGGCGAGCGTGAGGCGGCGCTCGCTACGCAGCAGCACCGTGAAGCCGTCGCACGGCACCGAGCTGCCCTCCCGCGCCGGCCAGTACGGGGCCTCCGCGTCTGCCTGCAACAACGACACCACCGCCCCACAGCGCCCGTCACCCACGGCGAACGTCACCCATGGCGACCGGAACCCATGGCGACCGGAACACACGCCGATTGGCTATCGCCCACAGCGATCGGCTATCGCCCACGGTGACCGGCAATCACCGACGGTGACCATCGCCCACGACGACCGTCATCCACGACGACCGGCAATTACTCACCATGACAAACACCCACCAGGACCAAAATCACCCACCAGCCATCACCCTCCTAAAGCAACAACTGTCCATTACCCAACTACCGTGGTGATCGTGACAACAATAGTGTTGATGAAGATTATGTTAATGGTGGTGGAAGTGGTAATGATATTGGTGATGATGGTCACGGCGATGGAGATTATGATGGGCAATATGATTGTAATTGTAGTGAGTGATGAATGATTATTGCAACGATGATGAATTACAAAAACTGATCAAGATTTTAATGGTGATGAGAATGACAGACAATGATGATCGTGATAAATGATGATGGCAAAAATGATCAGGGTGGTGACACGGCCGAGGGGAAGCACGTTCGCCACTTTTTGCAGAGGAGGTTCTGGGTTGGACTCCGGCAGGCTGCCCTGGTTAATACTGCCGGGTGGTTATATTCACCTAATGATGCAACGCGCTGTCTGCTTCACTCACAGCGGACGTGAAAGATCCTCTGACATTATTCGCAAAAGACGTACACGCAAATTACTCAATTTGGATTAGGCACAGAAGTGGCGATCATCGTACACCGAGTCACCATCCCGCGCAGGGACAACTGCCACTGGGGTGCCGCCCTTTCAAATGTGCCTCAATCCCAGTTGGGGCTCAGGTCGTTCGTCAAGTGCGCATGAAGGAGGAGGGCAGCTCTCTCAAAAACAAAATAATCATCATCATCTCGACGACGACCATGAGGGCGACAGTGCCGATGATGGTACGTACGGACGCGTCGTTTCCCTGCAGCATGACGATGAAGCGAGCGTTGACCTCCCACGTCATCCTCCAGAAATCCTGCGCCGTGTGCGCCAGCGGCCTCTGCGTGACGATGAACTCGCGCTGCTTGTTGAAGCCCTGCGGTCACGCGGCACACGGTCCCGCGCCGGGGCGATCACACGTGGTGCTGTGGTACAATAGAAGCGGACTGCGACGGATGTTCGACAATCAGATAAATTGGGGGCGTGTCACACGACTACTCGATACAAACAATTCTTGTCGACGTAATCGATTGCCAACGAAGCAATTGACAATAGACATTTTCAAGATGGCTGCCCGATCAACTTTGAGCGGCTGCTGATTCGACTGAGCTGAATCTATACAATTAATCGCTCGGTCCACGATCTCACAATGAACATATATGGGCAAAGAACTGCCCCTTCGGCCAACAACAATGCCTATTATCTTCCATATATGGGCAAATCTCTAATCGGTGATTTCGTCGGGTGTCCGATTTCACAGCATAACGGTGCTAATCATCGCCACCTCCCCAGCGGCAGACGTGGCGCCCGCTCGCAGGCCGGGTGCCGAGTCACACGGCGCAAGGACAGCTGCCACTGGGGGTGCCCTTCAAATGGCTGAGATGAGAATGCGATGCTGAGACATTTATGCAAGCGCCACGATACACGCCAGATACGCCACCACTCACCATCACACAGACACCATCAATCACCACTCACCATCACACAGACACCACCAATCACCACTCACCATCACACAGACACCACCAATCACCACACTCACCATCACACAGACACCACCAATCAACACTCACCATCATACAGACACCACCAATCACCACTCACCATCACACAGACACCACCAATCACCACACTCACCACCACCAATCACCACACTCACCATCACACAGACACCACCAATCACCACTCACCATCACACAGACACCACCAATCACCACACTCACCATCACACAGACACCACCAATCATCACACTCACCATCACACAGACACCACCAATCACCACACTCACCATCACACAGACACCACCAATCATCACACCATCACACAGACACCACCAATCACCACACTCACCATCACACAGACACCACCAATCACCACTCACCATCATACAGACACCACCAATCACCACTCACCATCACACAGACACCACCAATCATCACACTCACCATCACACAGACACCACCAATCATCACACAGACACCACCAATCATCACACCTACCATCACACAGACACCACCAATCATCACACCATCACACAGACACCACCAATCACCACACTCACCATCACACAGACACCACCAATCATCACACTCACCATCACACAGACACCACCAATCATCACACTCACCATCACACAGACACCACCAATCACCACTCACCATCACACAGACACCACCAATCACCACTCACCATCACACAGACACCACCAATCACCACACTCACCATCACACAGACACCACCAATCATCACACCATCACAGAGACACCACCAATCACCACTCACCATCACACAGACACCACCAATCATCACACTCACCATCACACAGACACCACCAATCATCACACCATCACACAGACACCACCAATCACCACTCACCATCACACAGACACCACCAATCACCACTCACCATCACACAGACACCACCAATCACCACACTCACCATCACACAGACACCACCAATCACCACACTCACCATCACACAGACACCACCAATCACCACTCACCATCACACAGACACCACCAATCACCACACTCACCATCACACAGACACCACCAATCATCACACCATCACACAGACACCACCAATCACCACACTCACCATCACACAGACACCACCAATCATCACACTCACCATCACACAGACACCACCAATCATCACATCATCACACAGACACCACCAATCACCACTCACCATCACACAGACACCACCAATCACCACACTCACCATCACACAGACACCAGCAATCACCACTCACCATCACACAGACACTACCAATCACCATTCACCATCACACAGACACCACCAATCACCACACTCACCTTCACACAGACACCACCAATCACCACTCACCATCACACAGACACCACCAATCACCACACTCACCATCACACAGACACCACCAATCACCACACTCACCATCACAGACACCACCAATCACCACACTCACCATCACACAGACACCACCAATCACCGTTCACCATCAAACAGACACTACCAATCATCACACCATCACACAGACACCACCAATCACCACACTCACCATCACACAGACACCACCAATCACCACACTCACCATCACACAGACACCACCAATCACCACTCACCATCACACAGACAGCACCAATCATCACACTCACCATCACACAGACACCACCAATCATCACACTCACCATCACACAGACACCACCAATCATCACACTCACCATCACACAGACACCACCAATCACCACTCACCATCACACAGACACCACCAATCACCACACTCACCACCACCAATCACCACACTCACCATCACACAGACACCACCAATCACCACTCACCATCACACAGACACCACCAATCACCACACTCACCATCACACAGACACCACCAATCATCACACTCACCATCACACAGACACCACCAATCACCACACTCACCATCACACAGACACCACCAATCATCACACCATCACACAGACACCACCAATCACCACACTCACCATCACACAGACACCACCAATCACCACTCACCATCATACAGACACCACCAATCACCACTCACCATCACACAGACACCACCAATCATCACACTCACCATCACACAGACACCACCAATCATCACACAGACACCACCAATCATCACACTCACCATCACACAGACACCACCAATCATCACACCATCACACAGACACCACCAATCACCACACTCACCATCACACAGACACCACCAATCATCACACTCACCATCACACAGACACCACCAATCATCACACTCACCATCACACAGACACCACCAATCACCACTCACCATCACACAGACACCACCAATCACCACTCACCATCACACAGACACCACCAATCACCACACTCACCATCACACAGACACCACCAATCATCACACCATCACAGAGACACCACCAATCACCACTCACCATCACACAGACACCACCAATCATCACACTCACCATCACACAGACACCACCAATCATCACACCATCACACAGACACCACCAATCACCACTCACCATCACACAGACACCACCAATCACCACTCACCATCACACAGACACCACCAATCACCACACTCACCATCACACAGACACCACCAATCACCACACTCACCATCACACAGACACCACCAATCACCACTCACCATCACACAGACACCACCAATCACCACACTCACCATCACACAGACACCACCAATCATCACACCATCACACAGACACCACCAATCACCACACTCACCATCACACAGACACCACCAATCATCACACTCACCATCACACAGACACCACCAATCATCACATCATCACACAGACACCACCAATCACCACTCACCATCACACAGACACCACCAATCACCACACTCACCATCACACAGACACCAGCAATCACCACTCACCATCACACAGACACTACCAATCACCATTCACCATCACACAGACACCACCAATCACCACACTCACCTTCACACAGACACCACCAATCACCACTCACCATCACACAGACACCACCAATCACCACACTCACCATCACACAGACACCACCAATCACCACACTCACCATCACAGACACCACCAATCACCACACTCACCATCACACAGACACCACCAATCACCGTTCACCATCAAACAGACACTACCAATCATCACACCATCACACAGACACCACCAATCACCACACTCACCATCACACAGACACCACCAATCACCACACTCACCATCACACAGACACCACCAATCACCACTCACCATCACACAGACAGCACCAATCATCACACTCACCATCACACAGACACCACCAATCATCACACTCACCATCACACAGACACCACCAATCATCACACTCACCATCACACAGACACCACCAATCATCACACTCACCATCACACAGACACCACCAATCATCACAGTCACCATCACACAGACACCACCAATCATCACAGTCACCATCAACCAGACACTACCAATCCTCACACCATCACACAGACACCACCAATCATCACAGTCACCATCAACCAGACACTACCAATCATCACACCATCACACAGACACCACCAATCACCACACTCACCATCACACAGACACCAGCAATCATCACACCATCACACAGACACCACCAATCACCACACTCACCATCACACAGACACCACCAATCATCACACTCACCATCACACAGACACCACCAATCATCACACTCACCATCACACAGACACCACCAATCATCACACTCACCATCACACAGACACCACCAATCATCACACTCACCATCACACAGACACCACCAATCATCACACTCACCATCACACAGACACCACCAATCATCACACTCACTATCACACAGACACCACCAATCATCACACCATCACACAGACACCACCAATCACCACACTCACCATCACACAGACACCACCAATCATCACACTCACCATCACACAGACACCACCAATCATCACACTCACCATCACACAGACACCACCAATCATCACAGTCACCATCACACAGACACCACCAATCATCACAGTCACCATCAACCAGACACTACCAATCCTCACACCATCACACAGACACCACCAATCATCACAGTCACCATCAACCAGACACTACCAATCATCACACCATCACACAGACACCACCAATCACCACACTCACCATCACACAGACACCAGCAATCATCACACCATCACACAGACACCACCAATCACCACACTCACCATCACACAGACACCAGCAATCACCACTCACCATCACACAGACACTACCAATCACCACTCACCATCACACAGACACCACCAATCACCACACTCACCATCACACAGACACCACCAATCACCACACTCACCATCACACAGACACCAGCAATCACCACTCACCATCACACAGACACTACCAATCACCACTCACCATCACACAGACACCACCAATCACCACACTCACCATCACACAGACACCACCAATCACCACTCACCATCACACAGACACCACCAATCACCACACTCACCATCACACAGACACCACCAATCACCACACTCACCATCACACAGACACCACCAATCACCACACTCACCATCACACAGACACCACCAATCACCACTCACTATCACACAGACACCACCAATCACCACACTCACCATCACACAGACACCACCAATCACCACTCACCATCACACAGACACCACCAATCACCACACTCACCATCACACAGACACCACCAATCACCACACTCACCATCACACAGACACCACCAATCACCACACTCACCATCACACAGACACCACCAATCACCACTCACTATCACACAGACACCACCAATCACCACACTCACCATCACACAGACACCACCAATCACCACACTCACCATCACAAGAGACACCACCAATCACCACTCACTATCACACAGACACCACCAATCACCACTCACTATCACACAGACACCACCAATCACCACAGTCACTAATCATATCACCACACACTCAATCACCTCTCACTGCTCACATCTCACCAACCGTACCAGACACGCCTCAACAATCACTTCACGAGCCACCTCTGAATCTCCTCGTCGGCCTCTGGCCTCACGGTTCCCTCCACGATCATCAATACAATCAATAAATCTTGGGTAAATCAGCCGGTAAAAATCTCAGAAATCATCGATCATCGCGTTTCAATCTGAGCCGCCGATCAATGCGTTTAATCTTGGCCGTCCATTACGTCCCAACAGCTCCACGGCAACGCGCCTCCTCGCGGCCATCGATCTTCCATTCCACCCCCCACTCTACCCCCTCCACCCCGCCCTCTCCTTACCCCCCCACCCCACACCCGGACAAACCCATGGAATGTGGATCGCTCATATTGTTAGCTTCACTTTGCGTCGGGTGTGGGTTTTTGTTTTGCACGTTTGCAGCTGATCACCAGGCTCCCTCCCTCCCTGTCGCCCCCTCAGCTCCCCCGTACTCCGCGGTGGGAGATGTCAGGACTCGCGAGGTTGGCGGCAGCGGAGAGACAGCCGTCAGCAGCGGCAGCGGAGAGACAGCCGTCACCAGCGGCAGCGGAGAGACAGCCATCACCAGCGGCAGCGGAGAGACAGCCGTCACCAGCGGCAGCGGAGAGACAGCCGTCACCAGCGGCAGCGGAGAGACAGCCGTCACCAGCGGCAGCGGAGAGACAGCCGTCACCAGCGGCAGCGGAGAGACAGCCGTCACCAGCGGCAGCGGAGAGACAGCCGTCACCAGCGGCAGCGGAGAGACAGCCGTCACCAGCGGCAGCGGAGAGACAGCCGTCACCAGCGGCAGCGCCATGCCGGAGCTTACACGGGGCGAGCGGCTTCGTGGCGGAGAGGCCTCCTCCATCGAGGCGCCAGCGACTCGTGTGTTCAAATCGCCGTCACCAGTTCTTCCGGCCCCACTAATTGTGCACCCGTGTGCCTGTCCGGCAAAATACCACCGACAAGGACGCAGGAGCAGTGACACTGCTGCTGCTGTTTTGTTTGGGATTTCTGGGAGGCTTGGCTGTTGCATCTGGCATGGATCGGCTCAAATCCGGCGCAGGCAGTTGTTGAATGGAGCAAAGTCGCTCTCCTGCACGCTCGCTTCATCTCCTTCTCTTCTTCCTCTTGAGAATGGGGCTAGCAAGCAGCCTTTAATGTGCAACCAACTAGATCCTGACCCTAACTCGCCAACCAACTAATCTACCCAGCATCCGCGACACTCTCCCCAGCACCCACGACACTCTCTCGAAGCCCCTGCAAGGAAGTTATATTATTCTCAATGCTTATTCTATTCCAGATACACTTAATTTCACGTAGAGTGAAAACTTAATTAACATGCAATCAATTCTGTTTCTGGAAATTACTTTTGCATTACAGAGGTAACAATTTTGCCTCCCCTGCTCACCCCCTCCCCGAACTGTGCAGCTGGGTGCATCACTGATGATGATGATGACAACAACAACAGCAATGACGAAGGCGATAACAGTAATCGCAATAATTGTACCCGACTCATTTCGGCAAAAACTTCCCGTGGCGCCAGCGACACGCAACGGTGCCATTGCGGCTATGATCGTTGATGACAACATTAATCAAACGGCCTGAACGTCGACGCCGAATCTCTTCGAAAAAAAAATAGTTTTGCTCCACCATCCCGTAACTCGACTGTTTTGGCCCGAATCTCTGTTCCGATCTCTGATTCGTATTCGCTTTGTCGCTCGCGCTGCACTCGTTCACCGTTATGTTACTTTGAGCTCTGTCACTATGGTTGACCTGGGTCACTCGTGCAAATGAGACTCATCCCGGTGCTCTTTGAGCGCTCGTCCGGCTGAGCGACTCAATTGGACCTGACTATGGAAGGTCAGAGCCGCCACAAAGTTGAATCTACCGTGTGGGATCGGGGGTCAGAGGTCAAAGGTGAGAGTGCTGAGCCCGGCACTGCCAAGATTCTGGTGGGGCGCTGCTGTGGTGAGATCTTAACTACCTCGACTGGAATACAAGAGGTCTTGGATTCAATCCCGACATTGATGCCTGCTGTATATTTTGAGTTTGCATGTTCTGCTCGTGGTTGTGTGGTTTGTTCTCCAGGTCCTCCGGTTTTTCCCTCCACATTTAGAATCAACATGCGTTTAAAGTATTTGCATGCTATAAATGTCCACGTGATATGCAACTTTGCTGAGCTATCATTCGTGGCCAGGTCGCTTTTGAAAAAGAGCGATATAGCTCAGTGGGCCTTACCTAATCAAATAAAAAGTTGAATAAATTTTTTTAGCCACTGTCCGTATCACCAACAATTGCACGAAAAAACGCGTCATAATTTCCTTCTGCACTTACTTGGGCAAAATTTCAGCACTGGGAATAAAATTTCGGCTTTGCTCTCTCACGTGATGAACATTCTTCTCACATGCAGAGCGCGTAACGGACCAGAGGTCACTCGAAGGGGATCTCAAGGGGTGGCTCTGAAATATCCGCGTCCGCGTGCCATTCTCCAGCACGAACAGGCGGCGTGGCGCTTGCCGCGAGAGATTTGGACGGACGCCTCGTTCTGTGACGCGGCCAGCCGAGAGCACCATCGGCGTGAAATTGGGAAGAAAAAAGCATTCACCGTTATATATTTATTTATATATCTGGCGTGGGCCTAACGGCAGCAGCCCCACAATAGCCGGGTGGCGCTTATGCTCGCCAGCGCGAGCGGCCGGCGGGGGTCGTACCGTGACGTACGAAGCGTTGATGTAGTCCGACCCATCCACGCCGGGGATCGGGGAGAGCAGCACGCGGGAGTGCTCGGCTGTGGGAGAGAAGAGGTGGGAACGGGGCGGGGAGGGGGGGATGAGGCAGGGAGAAAGAGGTAGGGAGAGAGAAGTAGAAGCTAGGAGAGTCGGGGAGAGGCAGGCAGAGAGAGGGAGAGGCAGGGAGATGCAGGGAGAGAGAGTGCAAAATATCTGGGGCAGAGCGGGGAAGAGGGACTGACAGGAAAGTGGTAAGGAAGGGAGGAGGGGAGGCAGGGAGCGAGGGAGGGTAATCATCCATGAAGTGAGGGAGGCAAGGAGGCTGCAATCACCCACACGCTGCTGCTGCTGCTGCTGCGATTGGCCGATCTGTATTCTGCCGCCCAGGGACCCGGAGCGCATTGGCACGCGCCGCACGGCGCCGTACAGCGACAGTGGAGGGGGGGGGGGGGTGCAGTCTGGATGTGGTGTGCCGAGCTGGCACCGTGCGGTGCGCCCGGACAGCTCGCGTGCGAACGGGCGATGGTGGCGCCATCCCCGGTGCCGCCACCGCTGTTGCCGAGGAGCGGCGCGGCCTCCGGGGGGGGGAGGGGGAGGGGGGGTGGCCGGCGGGGGATGGGGGGGGGAAAATCGCTCGTCCGCAGAACGGCATGGACGCGCCGAGTCCACATGCTACTGTGGCCCGATGCGGGGTCGGCTCACGGCACACCACATCCAGTATGCCCCCCCCCTCACCGTGGCCGCTCCAACTCCGGTCTAACAGCTGCTCAAAAGTTATTCGGCAGGAATATTTTTGTTACGCCCTTGAGGACAGAATGCGGAGTTATTTATTTCCCCTGCAAAGGGTTGGCGAGGCGGTGAGTCAGAGAGATACGAAGAAGGCCTTGAGCCTGTACTTTATGACAGGAACTTCCTGAACTTCACCTTTAACCCTGAACTTCACCATTCACCCTGAACTTCACTCTTAACCTTTAACTTACCACGGAAGATTCTCGCAGCCAATGCCGTGATTCGTAAATGATTTTTGGATTTGGTTGCGAGGATCGTTCTGCAGCTCACCGGGTGACAGAAAGTGTCGGTGAACCTGGCTGTGATAATCATTCTGCACCTCACCAGGTGACTTGAGCTGACACGTTCACAATCGGCGCGTCGCTCAACGCTCCGTGACCGCGTGATAATTTAATTCGGCCGTGTCGGGTGGCGGAGGCTCTTGACAACAACAACAACAAATTCGGTCAGGTCATTACGTAGCGGACCGACACGAAAAGATCTATGCAATCTGCCATTAATTGGCTACGGGCTGGGTACAGCATGGGAGATGGGTGCTGGCGATCCCTCCGCTTGCAGCATGTTCGCCCTCGCTTCCAGTAATTGGGTTTAATTATAATTGAATCCCTCATTGCTGTGGTGATATTTTGAACACCTCCTCCTTTATCATGCTGATTATTTGTGTAACGTTTATGCACAGACGCCTTTCGTTAAAATGCAGTGCTTAATGTAAATACGTAACAATGTTATAGCAATATGTAAAATAATATCAACGTGTCAATAAATAACAAACGTGTGGCACCGGGTGGCTCTGGGGCAGAGCGAGTGGCTCGCGATTGGGAGGATCATGAGTTCAACTCCCGGTTGGGGGGTTGATTCCACAACATTTTTGCATCTGCGGTATTTATGCATCCACGGTTTTCTTTCGGCGTATTAATTTGCAAACCACGTGGGCACGGGGTATTGCGTATCCCGCGGTTCAGCGCGGCGACCGGCAGGACTTGCGATTTCAAATCACACTGCGAGCGGCATTCCCTCCGTGCATCCTCTCATCCCCCAGCTCCTGCTACCGCTCGCTTCCCGCCACCACCACCGCCGCCGACGCCGCTCGCACAGCGACCGTTGTAGCACGTGAATGTTGTCGCATCGCTTCGCATTATTCTGCATTTCCTGACCTTTAATCGTTGTTTGTTTGCATGAATTTTGCCCCTAAATCGTGGCCCCTGAGCGTGCGACCGGTGCTAGAAGGTGAAGCGAGTGCCAAAAGGCCCAGGAAAACAGTGCGGCGTGGGTGGTCCGCTTCATGGGGTCCAACAAGTCCACCATTAGAACCTCACTCATGACCTCATCCTCATTATCGTCATCACCACGGACTTCAACGTGATATTGTTGTTTTTTTTATTATGTTATTTTAACTTTTTATGTTATTGTGTATTTTATTTGTGTTTAGTGAAGGAACGGGCAATTTAAGCTTTGACGAGTGTGACCACCGCGGCCGCGGTTGCCCTGACCCCCTATTTCCCATAAGGCCTTGGCATTGCCAACAGCGGCGGTTTTCAGGAATGCAACGTAACCCCCCACCGGTTCATGAGAAACCGTTGTCCCACTTTGCGGGTGTGAAGTCAACAGCGGTTGTCCTCCACGTAGACTCGACTCCCGCCATACGAATGTGGAATTGATGCCGGTGGCTTAGGGCCAGTGGAGGCCGTTACCGTCGGGTGGGTGGGGGGCGGGGGGCGGAGGGGAGAGTCCCTCGCAACGCAGGAGCCGCTCACGCTGACTTCGCCGTCGGCGGTTCGAGCCCGGCGGCCACGCCGGCCAATGCCGCGGCGTGGCGGCGGTCACCTTGAGATGGTGCGTGCGCCGCCTGCTTCGCTCACAGCGGGACGTTAACGATGCCGTGACGTTGCCGTGAGCAAGGCCCGCTGCGTGTGCCGGTAGTCGCGGTGCAAATTTGGAAAATGACGCACCGCGAATTACCCAAACTGGGATCACGCGTGGCAATCAGCGCACCCCTGCTGTAAACCGACCATAATTGGCTGTGAAACGTAGCGTCTTCATTAGAGCCCGGCGCTACGAGAATGGCGCAAATACCAAATGTGCAAAATGATCACTTGTTATGTTTATACGCAGGTGCGCAAGTGTGTGCTGCGTGCAGGTGCATGTGTGTGTGCTACGAACGCGTCTGCTGCGTGCGTGCTGTATGTTTGTGCCATGAACGTGCGTGCTGGGTGTGCGCTCCGTGCGTGCTGTGCGCACTACGTGTGTGTACGCGATGAACGTGCGTGCTGCTGCGTGTGTGTGCTCCGTGCGTGCGCAAATGTGCGTGCCTGGGAGCACCGCGTTGGCGCGGTTCTTGGCTCGGTTGCAGGCCTTGCCGGCGCTCGTGCATTCGCCATGTCGGGATCCTCCTCCTCCTGTCCCCGTCAGCAGCTGTCAGGGGAGCGCCAGAGCGACGTCATCGCACATCGTCGCGGCCGTAAAACGTCAACGGCACGAGCAGCCGGGGCCACGGCGTGCTCATCGTTAAACCCTCTCAGACAAATTGAATCCCTCGCAAAAGTTCCCCTCCACTGCAGCCGCCGCTTGGCTGCAGGAAGCAAATAAATAAAGCAAACCCTCACATCGCGATAATTAAATTTCGTATTTTAATCAACGGAAGGAATCGAGTGGAATTTAAAGAGGCACAGTGGTGGCAGGTTGGGTGGAAGCAGTGGCCACAGGAGAACCCACGCTGTTAGCGAGTAGCACCTATGAAGGCCACACAAAGAAAAGATCCCCCTATACGGGGAGTGGTGAGTGGCCAGCACCACGCCAGTCCGCCTCTGTATCCCGAGTCGCGATGTTTACACATTACACCGAGTACCTATTTGAGGCCGAGTCGACCTAGGAGAGGCCCAGGACTGGTTTAGATAAACGTCACTGGTGTTGGTGGCCGTGAACAGCCAGTACCAGGTACATTGTGTGCGGTTCGTTTTGGCAGTGGGAGGAAACCGGAGAACCCGGAGATCATAAAACTGCGTGCAGGAAGGCGGCCGCATCGGTAGATCTAACCCAGGGACCTGCTGCTGCGAGGGACGAGTGTCACCCTGCCGGCTACATTGGCGGTGTTTTTCACCGAAGACCATTTGAGAGCGAGAGATTTTCACTGGAGGAGAGACGTTGCAAATTCGGAGCGAAGGGGGCGCCGTCCGCTTTGCGGAAACCTGGCAAAAGCTGAGCGACGAGATCCATCACGAACGCCCCTGAAGACGTCTGCATGTGCAAATTCGCGTTCACGAGCAAAGAGCTCGCGACGATTAACGGCATTCGCACCGGCACGTTCAACCGCGATTAGCGACGGGGGCCAGCTCCAGGTTTGAAAATAGACTTTCCCAGTAATGCCCGAAGTGCAGGGAATGCAAATGATTAAAAAAGCAATTATCCGACGGTGAGCAAATAACAAAGTGGCCCGCTCGCCCATTCGGGGTCGGCTGGGATAGAGAACCGTTTGGATCGCCGCTCCGCGTACCATGATACGTCGCGGTGAAAATAACAAGGTTTGGGTTCAGCGTTCCAGCTCCGAGGGGTGGAGGGGAGGGGGCTTGGCACAATAATTCCCTCTGCTGAATTTGAGAGGCCGGGCGGGAGGCCGCAGAAAGTCGTCGGGATCCCGAGGGGCAGCGGCGCGCCCGACGGAGAGAGTGTCTCCAAATCGGCACGCGACGCCGGAAACAAGCGCAGGAAGCGGAACAAAAGCTGGGGGAGCGTGCGGATGAGCGTGGTGAGGTGCACGCTGGGAGCTACGCTGCGAGATTAGAGATCAGTTTAACATGTAGGCTCGGTTACTCTAAACCAAACCTAACAATGTTTTTCATAGCTAAGGCCCACTGAGCTATGTAGATCTTTTTCAAAAGCGACCTGGCCATAAATGATGCCTCAACGAAGTGGCTTGTCACGTGGACATTGATAGCAGCTCAACGCACGACCTCCTGTATGCCAGGAGAGGCGGTGAACATCCCGCCACCACGGCGCCCCAATCTAAAGACCGCTCATCGTAAAATGTGATTGGGCGCGACGTCGTCCGGAACGTCGCCCCTTATATATCCCCCATACTCTTTTGTTCTTTCGGTAAAGTCACGTAGGCATAACATAAAATAAATCACGACGTTTCGGACGCAACACAAGCGTCCGTCATCAGGTGGGAGAGCGTGGTCTGCCTCAGCAGCAGACCATGCTCTCCCACCTGATGACGGATGCTTGTGTTGCGCCCGAAACGTCGTAATTTATTTTATTTTCTACCTACGTGACTTTACCGAAAGAACCAAAGAGTATGGATTCCTGCAGTCACGAAAGCTTCAAATCAAGAATATCCCCCATGTTAAGGCCAAAGACACACGCGCACACACGTGTGTATGCACACACACACGCACACGTGCACACACTTGCACCAACACACCCGTAAAACACGCATTTGTTGTTTAAAATACGGATGAGAGTCACTCACACGACTCTGCTTGTGCATGGCGGTGTGGCCGGTCTTGGCGTGTGGCGTGAGGATGCGGTTCACGTAGGCGTGCAGGCTGCCGGCCGGCACCTCAGTGTCGCGGCACGTCACCGCGCCCACCAGCGCCTCGTGGATGAACGCGTACTGCTCCTGCTCGTGCGGGAGCACGGGGGAGCACGCGAGAGCAAGGGGGGGCACGGGGGAGCAAGGAGGAGCAAGGGGGGGCACAGGGGAGTGTGAGTGACTGTAAGTTGCACGTGCCCCCCCCGCCCCCCCCGCCCCCCCTCGCCCCCCCTCGCCTCCCCTCGCCTCCCCTAATTGCGCCTCGTCTCCCCTCGCCTCCTCTCCCCTCCCCTCGTTGCCCCTCATCTCCCCTCGTCTCCCCTCGTCGCCCCTCGTCACCACAGCGATGGCACATGGCACCACACCTTCTCACTGCACCACACATTACCACGCAATCTCACCGCACAACACGGCACCACGCCGCCTCACCGGGCTGTGCACGAGGTGCGCCCGCTGCGTACGAGCGTGCCGCAGGAACGCCGGGACGTTAAGGGCGCCGCGCTCCCGCACCTGCTGCAGCATCGAGTCCAGCACCACGAAGGTGCCCACCGCACAGCCCCCGGCACAACCACGCATGCCGCACCTGGGAGGGAGGTGGGGGGGGACAACCAATCATAAGCGGCCAGCACGGTTACCGTGCCGATTATTCGAGCGATCGGTTACCGTGCCGATTGCTCCAGTGATCGGTTACCGTGCCGATTATTCGATTGACTGATTCCTACACCGATTAGTGATTTGATCACTCAACTGATTGGACAGCACAAAAATAGTTGGGGGGGGGGGGGAAATAATTTCAGTTCTGTTCCCACGTGTGCCGCTGGATGGGAGGTAGTCAAGAGCAAGGCAATGTTCTTGGCGTGCATGAGCCGGCAATCGTTCGAGCGACCAGTTGTTCCGGTGGAATGATTCGTGACCGCCAACCCACAGCGAGCATGCGGTGCGCGCAATGATTCACCGCCACCACTGCTACCGATACCGCCACACACATGCCACCGCCCCCCGTTTCTACCAACGATCCGATGTCTCTTCACCATTCGGGCTTGGCACGATTCAGGTTTGGCACAATTAAATTTTATTTTTGGTTTACTATGTTGTATTTTACCAGGTCAGGCCCAACTGAGCTATACAGAAGCGACCTGGCCATCACACATAACAGCTCCATGGAGTGGCTTATCGCGTGGGCATTTATCACAGCCAAATACTCTAAACGCGTGATTCTAAATGTGGAGGGAAAGCCGGAGGACCCAGAGAAAAATCCATGCGACCACGGGAAGAATGTGCTAGAAACGTCAGGGTCGAGATGGAACCCACCGCGATGTCCTGCATACTAGACGAAGCACTTTAAACATCTCGCTACTGCGGCACCCCAGCATTTTCATTTTTGTTTGGCACTGTTTTATCATCTTGATCTTCTAGTTATTATTATTATTATTACTACCACCGCTGCTGCTGCTGTCGCTGTCCCTTTCGTAGCGAAGCCGACACCGCCGCTCTGCTGCCGAAGCCACTTAAACCAGAGCCCCGTGACCCTCACGCTGGGGACGTTCGTTTTAATAACCTGCAAAGAGTGTTCATTGCCTGCCAATCACGCCGCCTCTATGCGTCTCAGAGGTGGAATTTATCCAAATTAAGTGAAAAACCAATTGAATGTGATGGGGTTTTTTTTTTTTTTGTGCAGTCACATGCGACCGGCAGGAGAGCGCAGACTCGCTACGCTTGAGAGACGGGGAAGGAGCCGTTGTTTAATCACGGTGGGCGGCGGCTGAGATCCGGATTTGAACTCAGGGGTCAGTGTGTCTGACCCCTGAGCTACCAGGCCGCCTCTGATCACGCGCATACATACTGAGTGATGCTGCCGGCTCCTGGCCCAGGCATCGATACACTCAAAGAATCGCCTGTGAGAATACGCAGACGCGTTTTTATTTTACAATCCCTGTGAATTTTGCGCTCGAGTCGTCACAGCCAGGCTCGCGCGGCGAACATAGGCGCAAAAACAAAACCCGATCGCTGCATTCGCAGCCGAACGCAAAGCCCTGCGCACGGTCGCCGGGGCGAGACTAAAGACGGAGATGCGGCACAAGGTGGGAGGGAACGTGCGCACGCGGGGGCTCGTCCGTCGGTGTGCGCCCTTGCGTGTTGGCTGCACGTGACAGTCAACCGTTGTTGCATCGCGGGACGACGAGCGATGACTAACGGTTTGGGCAGCCCTTCATCCGGCGGTGGGTCGATCGTGGCCGACGGCGACGCGGGCGACGATGATGGAGTTAACGCCTCGCACCGGGCGGCCCAGTGGAGGCGGCCTAGTGGAGGCGTCAACGAGGGATGGGGGTGGAGGGGTCGGAGGTCGCGTACCCGGAGGCGGGGGCGTTGCTGGACGGAGGGGCCGCAGGGGTCACGGGGTCGGCGGACACGGACAGCTCCAGCAGGGAGGGGCGCGAGGGTCCCCTGCACGCGACCAGAGGTCAGTGGGGGCGGACGTCAAAAGTGCCTTCACGCGCCGACTCGCTGTGGCGTGACTACCCTCCAGCCTCCCGAGAGACGGGCGCATCGGCGTACGGTGCGGGCACACCTGTACCCAGCAGTGGATAGAGCATGGGTGCTGCTGTTCATGACAATGACTATGATGATGCACCTCAGAGAGGGTATCACACAAGGTGCCCCGTGCGTGATGAAGCAATCTGCCAGTGCCCTCCTTCCTCATCATTGCCTCTGCTATTTTAATCCTGGGAGCAATGCTTTTCGTGTACCGGAGGCCGCTTTGTTTGCTTCTCGGTTTGTAATTTGCATCTCACTTTATCGTGTTCACTCTGGGCCAACTTTCATTATTTTGGTTAACCCATAGATGCTTTACCACACCGTCAAGTTTTGAATGTTTGGGAAGTAATGATTTTATGATTTGTTGAAAGGTCTTGGCAAATGTTGCACTGAGAACGTGAACTGCCGTGTGTCTGTTATGGAACATGGTACACACACAATGACCCCCCGTATGACCTTAACAGACTGGTGAGACAAGTAAAATTAGCGAGCATCACCTATAAAGGTCGGCACGGTACACGAGGGGGTGGGTGGCCAGCACCACGCCCTGCCACCTTTGTCTCCACAGTGCTGCTGTTCACACTCTGCACCAGGTACTCATTTGATGCCGAGTCGACCTCGTGGAGGCCAAGGACCAGTCCAGAAAATCGTCACTGGTGTTGGCCGTGAGCGAGAATCGAACTCAAGTTACCGGACTCGTAGCACTGAGCGCTAACCGCTGTGCCAATGTTCCCCATGCAAACGGTGCACACGCACACACGGACACACGGACACACGCAAGCACTTACCCGCAGTGCACGAGTGTCGGGCCGGCACCCTGCGCGCGCGTCCCAGCCGACGCTTTGCGCACGAACGCCAGGAGGGGCCAGGCCACGGAGGGGCCCCCCAGGGGGGTTGGGGGGCCCTCCGTGGCGTGGCGCGCCGAGAACGCCCAGTGGCACACGACGCGCTCTGGCACGCGACACCGCTGGGAGCCCTGCGGTGGCGATGCGGCACCACACACGCACGCACACAAGCAGAGTTGCACAAAAAGACAACCACCATTTGCCATGAAGTGGCGGTGACGTCACCACAGCGCTTGTGCCAGGCTATGTTCACGTTAATGTCCCATGACCTCCCGCTGGCAGGTCACGGGACAGACCCAGGTGCCATGGGTTGCCTGAGATGACGGCTGTTGCACCAACAGTGCCCCCTACTGTGCTAACTTGCTGTGCTTTAGCCACCCGGCGCTCTGCTCGTTGTTGTAAGCGTCGCTCCTCTGCCCTCTGTTGTTGTTGGAGGGCGACTACCTCTAACTGCCCAGTAGCAGCGTCCATCACGAGCCTCCTCCACAGAAGCCGATCCTGACACCGCTGGTACCAGTCATCGGCAAGTCCACTCAGCTCCACGTCCTCCTGTACCACATCACTCCATCTCTTCTCTAGCCTGTGCCGCGCCCGTTTAGCCCCCTCGATCCGGCCGAACAAAAGCTGTTTAGGCATGCGGTGGCTGGGCATTCGGGCTACATGACTCAACTAACGCAGCCTTGCCTGCCGGAGGAGCTCACCGATGGAACTTTGTCCAGATCTTTCAAAGATTTGTGAGCTCCTCACACAATCCAGTCTGGTTAATCCAGCATGGATCGTAGGCAGGCCAGCCTAAATGTTTCTAACCGGCGAAGATGTTCCATTAGGGGGGGTCCACATTTCGCAAGCATAGAGAAGGGAGGGCATGACCGTGGCCAAGAAGACCTGAAGCTTCATGTAGAGGGAAAGACCGGGTAGCTTCCACACAGCGTTACGCAGCCGATGAAAAAATGCCGCTCGGCTGATTCGGAGCGAGACCTCTGCTGTTAAACCTGAACAGGTCATGAGCACACTGCCCAGGTATGTAAAACGCTCCACTCTCTCCACAACAGCCCCAACACACATACACACAATACCAACAACAACCGCCATTCGCCACTAAGTGGCGGTGACGTCACCACGACGCTTGTGCCAGGCCATGTGCACCTTGAGGCCACGTGAAGTGTCGAACGCCCGCTGGCAGGAGGTCACGGGGCAGACCCAAGTGCCACGGGTCGACTGACTAAGATGACTGAGATGACTGGCTGATGCACCAACTGTGCCCCCTACTGTGCCAATCTGCTGTGCTTTAGCCACCCGGCGCTCAGCCCGTTGTTGTGAGCGTCGCTCCTCCGCCCTCCATTGTTGTTGGAGGGCGACTGCCTCCAACTGCCCAGTAGCGTCCTTCACGAGCCTCCTCCACAGAGGCCGATCTTGACAACGCTGGTACCAGTCATCAGCAAGTCCACTCAGCTCCACGTCCTCCTGTACCACATCACCCCATCTCTTCTCTAGCCCGTGCCGCGCCCGTTTAGCTCCCTCGATCCGGCCGAACAAAAGCTGTTTCGGCATGCGGTGGCTGGGCATGCGGGCTACATGACCCAGCCAACGCAGCCTTGTCTGCCGGAGGAGCTCACCGATGGGACCTTGCCCAGATCTTTCAAAGATTTGTGAGCTCCTCACACAATCCAGCCTGGTTAAACCCAGGATGGCTCATAGGCAGGCTAGCCTAAATGTTTCTAACCAGCGAAGATGTTCCATTAGGGAGGTCCACTTTTCGCAAGAATAGAGAAGGGAGGGAATGAACGTGGCCGAGAAGACCTGAAGCTTAGTGCGGAGCGACAGACCAGGTAGCTTCCACACAGCGTTACGCAACCGATGAAAAGATATTGCCGCTCGACTGATTCGGAGTGAGACCTCTGCTGTTAAACTGGAGCCGGTCATAACCACACTGCCCAGGTATGGGAAACGCTCCACTCTCTCCACAACTGCCCCATCACCGATTGAGAGTTGTGGGGGTGGAGTGTCCGATGGTACAAAATACCCAGGCAGGTGCTTAGTTTTGGTGGGGCTGATGGTAAGGCGCCATCTCTTAGTGGCACGCTCCAGTCTCAGCAGCAGCGTCTCCAACTCCTCCTCTGAATGAGCAGCTATTGCCAAATCATCGGCATACATAACGTGGTTGGGCAATAGGGAGCCATCCCTTGACCGCACCCGGGCATCGATCAGCCTCCCATTATATCTGTACCAAATGGAGATTCCCCCGGGTATAGCTATTGAAGGCTTCACGAACTACGTGGTCAAAATAGATTTTAAATAATGTGGGAGCTAGAGGACATCCCTGTCGCACCCCAAGGTGTACAGGGAATGGCTCTGACTCCCAGCCACGTAGTTTTACCCGGGCCCGCACACCATCATGAAGGTCCTTAATGATCGTGAGCAGAGGGTCAGGGACTCCAAAAGCACGAAGAACAACCCAGAGTCCAGGCCTACTGATGGTATCATAGGCCTTGACCAGGTCAATAAAGCAGAGATGTAGTTCTTGTTGGAATTCCCTACACCTCTGCTGTAGCAGACGGAGAGAAAATATAGCATCTGTGCAGGACCGCCCTTTCCTGAAACCGCATTGGGGCTCCGCATGCCTCTCCTCAGCGTGCCTGGCAAGGCGATGTTGAATAATCCTTGCCAAGACCTTTCCCGGCGCACTGAGGAGTGAGATGCCCCTGTAGTTGTTACAGTCTGTGCGGTCCCCCTTCTTAAAGAGGGGGACCACCAGGGCATCCTTCCAATCCTCCGGAACCCATCCAGTGGTCAGACTGTTGTTATGATGTCATATAGGGCAGTCTGTTCACAAACGCAACCCTCCTTCAGCATTTCGCTAGGGAGATCATCTCTACCGGTGCCTTTCCTGGTCTCAGACTCCGGATCGCCTTCAGTACTTCCTCAACAGATGGCACCTCAGCCAGCCACTCACAGGGGGTGACTTCTTCCAATATTTGAGGCACCGCAGCCTCAGCAGGGTCATCCCCACATTGTGCCATGATGTTTTCCTGGCTGAGGGGTTTCCCCTCCCTCAGGACCTCACAGAAATGCTCAGCAAATCTGCAAACCTGTCCCTGGGGGTCAGAGATTGGATCACCGTTTTTTCCCCTAATGATGGTAATAGGTGTGGCACTGCAAGTTACTTTTTTGATGAAGTTAAATAGAGATTTGTGATCGCGGGCCACTGAGGCAGACTCCATCTCCTCAGCAACCCGCGACCACCACCCATCCTTGCAGCGCCTCACGGCTCTCCGAACCTCCGAGCGAAGGCTGCGGTAAGCCTCCTCATTCTCTGACGTGGGATTCTGTAGCCGATGACAGTGGGCCTGTCGCCTTTTCTCAACCATCCTGAACACCTCCTCTGTCAGCCAGGGTCTCTGGGGAGGTCTGGACCACGTACCCAAAGCAGCCATTGCAGCTGCATGAGTCACAGTCCTAAACCTCGCCCATTTACCCTCTACATCAGGAGGAGTAGGGGACGATGCCAACCCCAGCCGTAAGCGATGATGAAATTCTCGCTTGCAACTTTCATCAGATAACTGAAACCAGGCCACAATACTGCACACACACAGACATACAATGCTGCACACACACACATTTAATTATCATTGTCATCATCAGTCAGCAGCATTACCATCATCACTGTCCATGTCTGTGTGCACACTCAACCCGGTGTCCAATTTACATGCAAAGCATCGTCGGCATTGCCAGTGGGTCCATCACAATAAGCATCATCAGCTGTAGCATAGCGTGGCTGGCATAGGCCCCAGTGTAAAATATTTAAATGGGGAGCGGCCCTTGTATAATTTGCACCCCCCCCCCCCGCCGTCCTATTCCCGATGCCTGGGCCCCTGCGGCCGATGGGGCCCCAGTGCAATCTCACCGCCTGCACACTCCGAAAGCAACACCACCGGGTCCTGCGTGAGCCTATGGGTCCGACACGAGTCTCTGAGTCTCTGTACGTCAGCCTATGGATCGCTGTGCCACTGGCATGGTTGGGCACGGACCCTGGGTTCAAGACATCAAATTGACTCCTCTACCACTGTCCCATTCCCATTGGTGTGCCCTCCACCGCCACAGCCAGCCTGGTGTCTGGGCAACCCCAGCCAGCAAGAGGGGAAGGGGGTGGGGGGTGGTTCCCGGTGCGATTGCACCGCCTGCACACTCCGACAGCTGCGCTGGCCATGCCTTCTTGAACTTGGTGTTGCGGATGTGGAAACGGCGTGCGGTGTAGAAGGCTCGCGCACGCGACGACTTGAGGGTGACCAGCACGGAGCCGTACTCCTCGCTGCCCTCCGCCGGCCAGTACTCCTCCGCCTGAAGCACACAAACACAAAGATCCTCCCTCCGTCTATCCTTTAACACTGTTGGGGAAAGTGCTGTTAGTGAGTGGCGCCATGGTGCCGAGATGTTAACTACCTCGCCTGGTATACAAGAGGTCGTGGGTTCAATCCCGCCCGTGACGCCTGTATGTTTTGAGTTTGCGTGTCTCTCCCCCCGTGGTCGCGTGGAATTTTTCTAACTCCGCATTTAGAATCAACATCACGTGTTTAGAGTGTTTGGCTGCTATACATTTACACGTGATGATGAGCCACTGCATTGAGCTATCATTTGCCCAGGTCGCTCCTGAAAATAACTACACAGCTCAGTGGGGCCTTACCTGGTAAAGAAAAATAAAAGTTTAATCGTTTTTCATTTTAATAGTTTAATACGAAGGCCAGCAAGGCACACAAATGGGCGAGTGGCCAGCACCACGCACGCCCGGCCGCCTTCACATTTCCAGTGATGATGTTCATTTGAGGCCAAGTAACCTGCTTTGCATATAGACGTATGTACACACACCGAGGTACATACACACATCAAGGTACATACACACCTACACACATAGGTACGTACACACACCTAGGTATGACCAGCCATTCGCCACTAAGTGACAGTGATGTCACCACGGCTTATGTGCCAGGCCGGGTGCACTTTGAGGCCACGTGAAGTGTTGAAGGCTCGCTGACAGGTGCCATGGGTTGGCTGACTGAGATAACTGGCAGATGCACCAGCTGTGCCCTCTACTGTGCCAACTTGCTGAATTTTGGTTTAACACGTAGGCTTTCACGATACATATTAACCATAAGAAGTTTTTGAGTTTGATCGCGTAAATATAAATGTGTCGTTAAATCCGCCACCACCCAACACAGACAATTAGTAAGGTTTGTCACGTAAACAAAACATGCCAATTCGTTATTAGTTTAGCACACCGGTGTGTTGGAGAGTAAATCCACAACATTTACAATTAGAGTATGACATTTCGCCAGTAATCACTACTGGCATTATAATTGCTGTATTTTAGCCGCCCGGCACTCCGCTCGTTGTTGTGAGCGTCACTCCTCTGCCCTCCGTTGCTGCTGGAGGACGGCTGCCTTCCACTGCCCAGCAGCATCCTTCACACACACCTACGCACGCGCGCTCTAATCCACGCGGCGCAATGAAGATGCGAGCCGCGAAAACCGACGTTGACGCTGGTGCCTGCAGTCGTGACAACTGCGATGTCGAATCGAACAGAGGGGGGCAGAGGTTGAAGAGCGATGAAGCCCAGAGGACGGATAGACGGTTAACATGCCGTGTTTTATTCTGTAGCCTGCTGACCTCGCTCCCTGCTGGGCGTCTGTGAAAAAAAGAGCTTCATAGCTCATCGGATTCCTCCGGCCTAAATAAAGATTCTAAATGACTATGTAAATGCATCTTCGCTTTGTCGCCTTTATATTTGCGCAGGAGCTGCAAAGTGCCCCAAGGGGGGCGGGCGGCGTTGAGATCTTCAAACGATCTCACAGTTTGTCGTGCTTGTCAACTCGCCCTTATTAATTCAGAATCCGTCTCCCCCCTCCCCTCCTCTCTCTTCATTCCGTCCCATTCTTCTGTCAGACCGTGAAAGATCAAAGGAAATGGAAGCCTGGACACCGCGCGGGGGAAGCCTCCCGACTGACGCAGAGGGGCAGCGCGTGAGCCATTTGTCCTGACACGGCTTCAAAGTTGCCGAAGTTCCTGGTTTTAATCGAGAAGGCCGCCCTGGTTATTGATGCGGCGTGCGCTTCTTAACCGGAGTACGAATGACGCCACGCACTGTCTGCTCCGCTCACGATGGACGTTAAAGATGCTGTGAAGTCTTTCGCAATGTGGAACCATCGCGTGCCAGGGTCCAAATTTGCACAGCAGCAGCAGTAGCGATCATCGCCCCTCTAACTGGCAGAGTGACGGCCCACGTCACTATTGCGAATGAGACTCCATTCTTGACCTCGTGATTTCTCACCCTGGTCACACAGAATCAGCTGGAAACGTGCGTGGCACGGGGACACGGCCCAGCCGTGTAAAGGGCGTGGACGTGAGACAAAGGTCCCCCGAATCGGCTGTTGGGGTAAGTCCTGTTAGCGAGCACCTACGAAGATCGGCATGGCGCACCTTTGAGGGGAGTGGTGTGGCCAAAACCACACCTTGACATCCGTGTCTCCCCGGTGCTGATGTTTACACACCGCAGCAGGCACTCATTTGAGGCTGAGTAAACCTAGCAGAAGCCAAAGACCATTCCAGATATTCGTCACCGATGTTGGCTCTTCGTGAAAATCGAACTCGGGTCATGCGTCGATATCCCCGTGCGCTAACCACTGCGACACCGCTCCCTATAGGCAACGACATCCGGCGTTCACCACTAAGTGGCGGTGATGTCACCACGATGCTTGTGACAGGCTAGGTGCACTTTGAAGCCACGTGAAGTGTTAAAGGCTCGCTGGTACAAAGTCACGGGACAGACCCAGGTGCCGTGAGTCGACTGAGACGACTGGCAAAAGCACCGCCTGTGCTCCTCACTGAGCCAAATTGCAGTGTTGTAGCCTTCCAGTGCTTTGCTCGTTGTTGTTGGAGGGCGATTGCCTCCAAGTGCTCAGTAGCATCCTTCACGAGCTTCCTCCACAGAGGTCAACCATCACACCATTGGAACTAGTCATCTGCCACTCAACAACACATCATCTTGTACTACATCAGCCAATCTCTTTGCTAGCCTGCCTATGCTGCGCTCTGTTTAGCCACCTAATCTCTGGCCAAACGGAAGCTGCTTGGGCATGAGGTGGCTGGGTATGCGGGCTATATGACCCAGCCAACACAGCCTTGCCTGTCCGAGGAACTCATAAATGATGGAGACTCTGTCCAGATCTTTTAAGAATCTGTGAGCTCACACAAATCCAGCCTGATTAAACCGAGGATGGATAGTAGGCAGGCCAGCCTGAATATTTCAAACTGGCGCAGATTTTTATTTAGTGGGCTCCATAGACACACACGCATTCAAAAGATAAAGATCCCCTGTGTAGCCTGAACAGACTGTTGGAGCAAGTGCTGTTAGCGAAGGCCAGCACGGCAAACGAGGGGGTGGGTGGCCAACCCCATGCACGGCCGCCTTTGTCTCCCCAGTGGCGATGTTTACACACCGCACCAAGTGCTCATTTAAGGCTGAGTCGACCGAAGGGAAGTCCAGGTCTGGTTCAGATAATCATGACTAGTGTTTGCTGCGAGCGGGAATCGAACTTGTGTCGCCGGGTTCGTAGCGCAGCGCTCTAACCGCTACACACTACCGCTCCCGATACACACATATGCACCACATTCGCAAAGGCAAAGATCACATGTGCACGCACATGTACACATACCGCAGAAGTCATCAATCAAACACAGACACGCACAAATACACAATGACACGTACACACAGGCACGGGACAGTTGCTGCTCACTCATCCACACATGGGGCCACGCACGCATGACCGCACATCACAGTTGACAAAAAAATGTAATTCTCATTAAATAAAATTTAACATTAACTAAATTGCATTATTGTACGGTGCCCTTAATTTGGCCTGACCGGGTCTATGAAAATGATGAGTAATTATTATTCCAGCGTGCAGACTAACGAGCCGGACTAATTGATGGAAGTGGATTTTAACGCAAGTGGGATGGTCTAAGAAAGAGTGGCATGAGATCAGGCGAGTTTGTGTGCGCACGTGAACGTATGTGTGTGTGCAAATGTGTGTGTGTGTGCTCTGGACGGGTGCGAGGGGCTGGTAACCCCTCCACCTTCAAAAAATTACCACGAAACTACGACTTAAATATGTAACTAATAAGCTTGTGCTGGAGACCCCGGGGGGACAGGCATCTATGACGTTTCCTGGCCAAACCCCAATTGGCGGAGCCAGGAGATTGAATCTCTACCCTCGGGGCTCCTCCAGAAACAACGAAAAGCCACTTCGTTTGGCCACGTGGAATGTTCGAACAGGTCTTCTCGGCCACGGTCATTCCCTCCCTTCTCTATGCTTGCGAAATGTGGACCCCCCTAATGGAACATCTTCGCCGGTTAGAAACATTTAGGCTGGCCTGCCTACGATCCATGCTGGGTTTAACCAGGCTGGATTGTGTGAGGAGCTCACAAATCCTTGAAAGATCTGGGCACAGTCCCATCGGTGAGCTCCTCCGGCAGGCAAGGCTGCGTTGGCTGGGGCATGTAGCCCGCATGACCAGCCACCGCATACTGAAACAGCTTTTGTTCGGGCGGATCGAGGGGGCAGAACAGGCGCGGCACGGGCTAGAGAAGAGACGGAGTGATGTGGTACAGGAGGACGTGGAGTTGGGTGGACTTGCCGATGACTTGTACCAGCGGTGTCAAGATCGGCCTCTGTGGAGGAGGCTCGTGAAGGACGCTACTGGGCAGTTGGAGGCAGTCGCCCTCCAACAACAATGGAGGGCGGAGGAGCGACGCTCACAACAACGAGCGGAGCGCCGGGTGGCTAAAGCACAGCAGGTTGGCACAGTAGGGGGCACAGGTGGTGCATCAGCCAGTCATCTCAGTCAGTCGACCCGTGGCACCTGGGTCTGCCCCGTGACCTCCTGCCAGCGGGCGTTCGACACTTCACGTGGCCTCAAGGTGCACATGGCCTGGCACAAGCGTCGTGGTGACGTCACCGCCACTTAGTGGCGAATGGCGGTTGTTGTATGTGTCCGGCAAAAACAACCCCCTACCTCCTCGTAGTGCTGGATGGCAACGCTGTGGTGGGCACAGCCTTGAGGGGAGGGCCAATTTAGATTGACCATTCCCCTCATGGCGTTTGTAACCACCACAGTGGCCAAATGGGGGCTCTGGACGGGTGCAAGGGGCTGGTAACCTTTCCATCTTCAATTAATTACCAGAAAACCACGAAAAAAATATCTACTTAATAAGCTTGTGCCGGAGGCCCCGAGGGGACAGGCGTCTATGACAACTACTGGCCAAATCCCATTTGGCGGAGCCAGGA